CTATTCTATTCTATTCTATTCTATTCTATTCTATTCTATTCTATTCTATTCTCAATGAAAACAAAATAAATAAACTTTGGGAAAGGTGAATTTATTTTAACAATAAAGCTAAAAGATTCTTCACACTACCACTGGACTGTCTGCACCTCCCCAAGGGAAGTATAGGTCACAGTCTGGGAAATCCTGAGTTATATTGTTCTACTATCCTCAGAACAGTGGTGCCAAAAGCAACAGTATGGAAAAGATTATGAGAAATGAATGATATCTTAAAAGTATTCTATAAAATGTGGGTGAGTTATCTGAGGCAGTTCTCCATTAAAAGCTCCTGTGAAAGAAGTCCATGAATTCCACATTGATCTAAGAATTTTTTGACATGTGCTTAATATTATACAAGACTCTCCCAGGCATTAACAAAGTCAATATATAGTAAAGTTGTGCTCACCCATATATGTCTTAAAGGCATAGATGGAAAATGTTCATCAACATTTTCCCATGGCCTTTTACAATATGTAGAATGTGTTCAACATCTGTTAACCATTTATATCAGGCATCCTTCCATGGTTGCCCTTTGTGAGAAAAGTTTCTTATTGTCATCAGCGTTTCTTAATTTTGAATAATTCATTAAATCCCCTCTGCTAACTTCCCCACTTTCTTTTGCTTTACTGATGATGTGTGAATATTTTAGTATTTAAGTGCCAAGTAATTTTCTTATATCTAAAAACTAGAGCAGGGTTAAATTTGAATTTAGTCCAAGGAAGAATGATTTATTTTATGTTCTTAGTATATCACTTGAGGAAATGAAATAGATTTCCTGCTGTGAAATGTGAAATATATACCATTATTCCTTTGTGGGGATATTTATGAGCAGTTTGGTTACTTGAGGCCACTGGAATCTTTGGAATTTCTGCTGTATTTTTTTAGTGTCAGTCTTTTGCTCTTGCTATTCTTCACCGTCTTCTGGAAAATGGCTTGTTTTGGCTGGGAAAAAAAGCCATGTATTTACCATGCATGCCTGGGAAAATATGGTAAAAATGCTGCCGAATTTGTAATTATAAACTAATTTGTCAGTCTGTGCATAGAAAATTCTACTTTTTCTTTTGGCTTCATTTTAGCATTGTGACCCTTACACGGAAAGAAAATATGACAGATTGGTTTTGATCTAATATAGGTAGTCCTTGCTGAGCAGAGTGGTTGTAAAACGTGATGTGATATTTGACCACATTGCCTAACAATAGCAGACCTTGTTGCTGTAAATTAAACAAGGACCACATGGGTCATTAAGTGAGGATATCATGTGATTGCAACATGGGAAGAGACGAGAATCCAGAACTGTTTGCTTAGGCCACTGAAACTATGTCCTGGGCCAGTGCGTGGTTGCAAATGGCATTCATGTGACTGGGACGCTGCAATTGTGTAATTTTGTAATTGTGAGCCATTTGCCAAGTGCCCAATCCGTATTCATGTGATCTTGGAGATGTGCGATGGCCATAACTTTGTACCTTTGAACTGTCATTGAACAAATGAGGACTATCTGTAATTACTCAACAGTGGAATAATTTTTACTTTTTTATATAATTTATTTTAAACAATGTAGTTTACATAATGTAAACAATGTATGCAAATATAGATAATCTAATGCTGGCAACTAGTTGTCTCATTTTTCTGACTGGGATGGGTTATTAAACTCACCTTGCTCTTTTTTCAAAGCCCATCTGTCTCTTTCTCACTCTTCACAGAAATCTGGTGAAGAAATACTGTCCTAAACGTTCATCCAAAGACGAAGAGCCCAGGTAATATGAATATGAAATATATATGGATCTTGGTCTAATCCCATTGTCAGGGTTGTTGGGATTTAAATGTTTAAGCCAAGTACATTTTTCATAGATGGTAATTATATAAAATAAATATTATTTTATAATAAAGATATCTGGATTAATGTGACTTCTAAATTCTGGTACATTCAAGATGTGATGACTTGAAAAAAGCATAAGTTTATGAGGTCTGTTTTTAAGAAGTAATGTCTTTGTTCTTCCCTTCCATACATTTTTCTCCATTCTTTTCTGTTCAGTTCTAAACCTCCCAACATTAATGTCAGAATAGCATATTTGACCTAACCCAAGTGTCCAACACTTCACAATGTAGCAAACGCTTTCATTCACAGGATACATATGAATGATATGTCCCATTTTCCAGATGAAGCAACTCATTTCTGCATCTAGTTTAGTTTTTCCTCATAATTTTAAATTTATTCCTAAAACCAGTTATTCATTTCACATCTTAGTAAATGCTTCTGTTTTGCGGGGCTTTTGGATGATATTCTTTATTTTCTCCCTCCCTGTAAGATCCTGCTGATCTTACAAGTTTCTCTTAAGGAGAAGTGACTTTGGCTTTTCTCTTTTGCCTCTTTCTTTGAGGTTCATTTTTTAAAGGTCTTCACACCATGCTAGATGCTGATACATTCGTTTACTTTTTGTTTTGTTAAAGAAAAGCAGTTATACACCCTCATTAATAATGGAACATCTTTTTCGTTTATTTCCTGTATTCTGCCAGGTTTACCTCATGTATAGCCTTTTATAATATCCTTAATGAATTAAATGACTACGCAGGACAGCGTGAAGTAGTAGCAGAAGAATTGGGACATAGAGTATATGGAGAACTGATGAGATATTCCCACGAACTCAAAACAGAAAGGAAACTGGTAAAGAATGGGGGGGGGGATCCAAGTTACTGTTTTGCCGAATTATCTGTGAATGTCAGGACAATTTAATTATTTGTTTTATCGAAAAACAGCAACAAAAATTAGATATCTCTTCTGCTTGGCCAGCTTGTATATAGATCTTCATGTAGTCCTGCATTATTCTGTTGCAGAAATGCAGCAAAAATATACTTTCCTATAAGATTCCAAAGTATAGACCATTTAAATGTTTTTTGTTTTCTGATTTGTATTTTATTAAAATACCTGTATCTCTCTCTCACCCTCCCTCCGTCCCCACCTCTCACCCTCAGTCTCCCTCAATGGAGCTGATCTGTAAAACAAGCTTCTGATCATGGCCTTAATTGTTTTCTAAGTCCTCAGCTAGTTTTTTATTTGATGACTGTTAGAAATATTACATTTTTGAAAATACAAAGATGCTGTTAATAGACCTAAGAGAAGTTTTTTTTTCTAGCTATAGAGAATGTAGCAGTAAAACCTGATATCAGTGCTCAAGGAATCCATGCAGCTATATAATCCACATAATTACATGAATTGTAGTTCCTTCCATTGCATCTCCTGAATTATTGAAGATAATTTAAGTTAAAAATGTAAAAATGCTAACTTAAATGCTAGATAGCATTTTTACATCTTTGAAAGAAAGAAAACAGTGGATGAATGCATATTGGTAATGTTAAAATGATGGTGCTTCTGTTGTGATTTACATTCTTGTTTAGCATTCTGTTTTGCCTTTTGATTGATATATATCATTATGTGAGATTAAGCTGAACAGTTTTAAAAGCAACATGGGGTTTAGAAAACATCTTGTTTTATTATGTTCCAGCACCTTCAAGAGGGTCGAAAAGCACAACAGTATCTTGACTTGTGTTGGAAACAAATGGATAATGTGAGTTTTCTTTTATTCCTTTTCTGGTTTCCTTAAGGTTGCATAGTTTTATGGATGACTAATGCCAGACTGAAGACATAATGAATGAACTTAGTTATCACTGAGCCATCACAGTGCTTTCATTGTTCAATAGCCAAAATGGATTATTATGTTTGTTAGATCATTACACTGCTAATTCCTCAGTCACTAATATCTGCAGGAATATGACTTTGATAGATTTACACACTATATTTCAGCTTCTTAAAATATATTGAAATACTGCCTAACCTTGGGGTTCTTAAGCAGAAATTTTTTGATAGACTAGAGGTTTACTTTTATTTAAGTCTTGGGAATCATATCTTCCCCTGTTAATTGATACTCTTCAGAGAGTTACCTTAAGCTTAATTTTAAGTAGTAAAATTAAAGGGGAGTTGATGGAGTTACATAATGTTGAATAAAGAACTATTTCAGGCAAAAAAAAATACTAGCTTAAGTGTAACTAAGGCTGCAGTCCTGTATGTTCACTTCCCTAAATAAGAGTAATTGAATTTAGTGGGATAGTTTCAGAGTGGTATGCATTGGGTTGCAAGAAATGCAAAGTTTCCTATTATTATTTAAGTCTTTAAAAGTCAATATATAAATTGTCAATTTCTGTGGCCTGTATCTTCATATTCCCAAGTTATATGGTCCAATTTTCATTCCATTCTATCAAATCATTTTCACTATACTTGTCCCACGTCTTTCTAAAAGAATGTATTGTGAAAGAGACAAGTAATGATAATGGTAAGCCTAATATTTATACAGAGCTGTTCTCTACTAATCAAACTACTCCATAAAAATTCTGTTAATAATCTCTATCACTAATGATATAGTCTGTTTAAGATGCATGACATTTCTATGCTATATATGAGTTTTCAAGAATGAAAATACTACTAAGCTGTTCAGACTAGTTCATGTATTCTTAATTAGTGTTTGTGTGTGTGTGTGCGTGTGTGTATTACTCTCGATGTAGTTTCTGTGATGTATTGAGGATGTTTTTTCAGACATGGAGAAAGCAAATATTTTTATATATGGAACCAGCTATAATGCTGTTCACACATTAGAGGCAGATTATTCAGGGTTAAATTATTGTTCTTAACCTATATTTGCATCTTAGGGGAATCAATAACTAGCAACTGAATAAGAGCTTCCTAAAATAATGTGGACATGCAATTTTTAATAGTTGCTAATCTTAAAGTTATTTTATTCCTAGCATTGGACAAATGCATGATAGAGAGGATAGAGGATGTGGGAAGTTTTAAAATCAAAGAATTAAACAGTTACAAAATGAAATGGCAAAAGGTTAAAAGAAAATGTGTGCCGAATATGTTCCATTTTCATCAAAAGCGCATGGATGTGAATTATAATTGTGAGAGTAGTGCAGCATGGTGATTGGTTGTATTGATTTGTAACTATGTCATTGCATTGTAGAGCAAAAAGAAATTCGAAAGAGAGTGCAAAGAAGCAGAAAAGGCACAGCAATGTTATGAGAGACTGGACAATGATACCAATGCCACTAAAGCAGATGTTGAAAAAGTAAGATATTTTTATTGGAAAACAATAGTTCGCGTGGCTATATTTGGAATGTTGCTGGTATTTATTGAAATAATGAACTATTTGGGCCATCTAATGTGGATATCAAAGTGTGTTGAATTAGCAGAGTTTCAGCCATCATATATTTTGATTTTTTTTTTCAAATATGGTTTGAAAATTATGGTTCTGAAATGTTCTGATTGCAAAATTTCATGAAATGTCCCATTTTGTTGATAAAATTGCTGTGAATGCTTAAAACAGCCTGTTTCACATTTGAAAGAGAAGTTTCCACACACATGACTGGACCTTCTGTGAAATGTCACGCGCAACACATTTTAAAATGCAACTTTTATAGTCCTGTGCTTGAGCCAATCTTGAGCTTTCTTGTTTTCTCGTGGATTGAGCTGCAGATTGTGCTTATAAATCCAAAGCAATAAAATGTGACTTGGGCAAATATTCCAAATGAAGATTGAAAGTCACAATTAGTCTTTTGAATATTTATTTAAACTAGTTTGCTGTTTCACAATTTCACAGCAGACCATTGCTTAATCATGTCCCTGAAACTTCCTTACTTAACTATTTTTTTAATCTTTAATTTTATTTTAAATACAAAAACACTATGGGTAACATTTTGTATAAACACTTTAAAATATTAATTGATGAATAATGTTAAGAAACTATATGTAGTATCTTATTTACTCATATAGTCTTGTATATAATATTTTATTGTAATTGAATAAAAGCCCATAAGTAAGAGTGCAGCATTTTTAAGAACAGTATTTTAAATAAAAGGTCTTAAGCATTTGCTATTTTTATCTAAGTTTTTTAGCTCTTGTGATGTGTCTGTAATGTTTGTTTTTATACATTGATGAACTGTGTTTCTCATTAGATTTACAGTTAGTGATTTTAATACCATAATTTATTAATTCTTTATTCTCAAAGAAAACTAAACTCATTACAACAGGGGTAAGCTTCTGTTGTAGGAATATGCTTGCATTGGTGGGATTTCTCCCTTTTTTGTATTTATTCACAGACAGACACAAAATTAATATTTTTGTGACTATTTTCTCTTAAAAGTTGTAGATTTGTGCAAGGATGTTTCCTTGGTAAGTCAGCATAAGCTCCTGCAGACGGATAGAGCTGACCACTTAATAAATTATTCATCAATAATGCTCTTTTCGTACTTGCATTGTAATGTTGCATAAGGAGCAAGATTTCTGTTCGTCGTGTGTGTGTGTGTGTGTGTGTGTGTGTGTGTGTGTGTGAGAGAGAG